CTGCAAATGTCGGTGGATTTCCCCGGATGAACGAGTGACGAACTTTGTCCCATGACATTGGCTGTGCCACTGGTTCAGGAACAGGTACTATCGGAGGAGGTTGCTGGTTTCGTAGAGCAGATGCTACTCCTGCTGCCACAGCTCGTGCAATGATATCAGCAACTTGAGGAGAAAATTCCTGATTCTCATTTTGAGTTGGGGAAATACTGCGATAACGGTTCGCATTCCTTGTCCCACGCCGAGACATCCTTCTTTTAAATTCAGAAAAAATCTAACGTCAGTACATTATAATGGACCGACTAAAAGAATACAAAGAACCCTAATACTTAGGCTCTAATTATCAGAATACACAATGCGGAAGTATAGTAATCACAGATCCCTAAGACACTCGAACCTGGAATGCTCTGATACCAACTGTAACACCCCCACATTTTCCACGCATAAGTTGATCAGGCTTATACACGAAAAACGAGGGATATCAAAAACAATTGGCAATATACAAGCATGGAATACAAAATGATGATAATAAAAGGATTTAGACAGGAAATGAACACTAAATAATACAACATCCATCCATCCCTTATTTAATACCGTACTTCATTACAACTTGGAAATCCTATGTCAAGGATCCCTAAATATAACCCTGAGAGTTCAACGTCAAAAGTAAATGAAAACTGAAACTGAAGTATTACATAAAACTTCTACCCTGCACTGGATCGTAAGAGTAGATGAGTTCGGATGATGGTCCCACACTGCTAACCTCAGCCTTGAAACGGATACTGACCGTATTTTGAAATAACAACAATGGTGGGTCAACCCCACGAGCAAGTCCTCTCTACTATGACCCAAATCAGAGAATCAAATAAATTAATCATTATGAATCGGATGAGTACTATATCTGTATACATCCTATGGGAACTATCCGATGTATAACATGACCTCAACCAGAATAGACGGTGATCACTTAGACTCACACTAGGTGGTTAAGTGTCGCCTTTCCCTACCCGGGAAATCAGCTATTATACATGGTGCACGGTACTGACAACACAGACTATAACGAACTACACAGTGATAACACCTCGCAAAGTACTGATGAATATACTGAGCATATAAATTAGGCAACACATGCCAACAATATTAATAAATATACCGAGAATGTCAATTAGGCAACACATGCCCATAATATTAATAAATATACCGAGTATGTCAATTAGGCAACACATGCCAATAATATTAAACCACATACCCCGACAGCCACACATCTGTCTATCGCAACGAATGCATAAGGTATAAATGAGTCTAAACTTATTAGTCAGCTCACATGGTTCTATATGGCAACACATCCATATAATATAAATGCGACATAATAAACAGTCCATTTATTCCCTGAAATGCACACAGCATAATAATCATGGTTTATATACGATTAACAGTATAAACATCCCATAAGATATCATGGATAATTTATCTGACTAAAACCATGGCCTTATTTAATTTTAACAGTAATGTTTGATACCATTTAATACGATAATAACACTATTTATATTTAACAATGTCGTTAAATAAACCACATTAGTATCCGTACTGATAACGAGCCAATAAATGCTTAGAAAAGATTAATCGGTCATAAGAATAAGTAACGGGTATAAAAATAATAATTTCGTGGCCCGTTAAACCCGTAAATACCAACTCAGTACCTAAAAATCCAAGTTTAAGGTTCTGGAATTTACAAAACAGGCCCTAGGGGTATTCTGGTAATTTCCAGCAGCTGTAGGGACCCCACACGCGCCCTCACGCGCCTCCCAGAGCCTCCCCACGCGCAACCAAGCTTTCCCACTCTCCCACGCGCCTCCACGCGCGTCTGGCATCAGCCACGCGCCCGCACGCGCTCCCACGCGCGTCTGGAGAGTCCCACGCGCGCGCACGCGCTGCCACGCGCGCACTAAGGGTGCCTTGCTGACGCGGCGTCCTCCGGTTGGTTGGCTGCATCTCCTTTCCTACATGCGCGTCACACCGGATCATCTCACCCTATCTTCCCTCCATCCAACACCCACAGATCCGGGTGTACCGCGGTATCATGGACCGCGATGCACCGGATCAATCAGACTCCACTAATGGCCAGGATGCGCGCGTACACCCTCCTATGGTGCGCCGCGTCGCACCGGATCACTCCGGTCGTCTCCCCCACTGCCGGCGACCGGAAAACTCGCCGGAAGGTCGCCGGAAATTGCAGAAAATGCTCGGAAAAATCTAGAAAATTCTAGAAAAATCCCTAAAGTCTTATTTAATTATTTTTAGCCATTATTAATTTCATAGGACATTAAATAAATATATACCATCCTATATAATTAAAATTCCATTAATTTAATAAAATAAAATTAATTATTTATTAACCTCCTAACCTTGGCTCTATGCATAAAAATAAGCTAAACAATTAATTTATTAATTCAAAGGGGAAAAGTAGATAATAACTTGCCTTTTTGGATTTAAAATAAATCCGCCGGTCTGCGCGTAGTCGGGTAAAATTGCCTACACCGGTCCAAGCTTCTTTCTCTTTCTCTTTTCCTTTCACTCTTATAAAATAGCTCTCTAGAATTTATACTTTGCTTCTACCTCCCTTTATTTTCTTCTAAGGCAAGCTAGTTAATTTATATACAAAATATATAATATAAATATTACAAATATCTAATTTTTATTAACTTCTCACCCATTTCTCATACTCCTACCTATATGGCTTTAAGACAATGCTATCTTTAATCAAGATATTTGATCCACCATTCTACCATAGTAAATGAAATTCTATCCTAGTATTTAATTTTTAATCATTACCTTGATTTAATACTAATATTATTATTACTAATATTATTATTAATAAACTTTTATAATTATTATTATTATATTATTATTATTATTATTATTATTATTAAACTAATATAATTATTATTATTACAAAATAATACATTATATCATCATAATACTATATAACACAAATATAATACTTTAATTAACTAATAATGATTAATATAAGCATAACCAACAAATAAAATTATTAATAATAATACATGCATAATTAAATGAATAAATTTACTATTTTAACATACTCAATTAATTTACATGCACAATTAAATGAACTTAATATAATAATGTAATATGCACAAATAAATAAATAAAATTAATTAACCTAACACAAAATTAATTTAAATACATTCTTTAAAATTACGGGGTATTACAGAAACCTTACAGCCGCATCGTCTCTAAGTTTCAGAATTTTCTTATACTGCTCCCACCTCTGACCATTGTTCCATTCCTCTGTTCTTCCTCCTTAGCTTCATAGATTAATACTACGTGAATAATGTTTTATTTTAACCCTTGCAGACTACACAAGAATATACACATTGAAGTGTATACAACCCTCTCTATGTATCTCTGTTTTTTCCTCTTAAATTACCCCTACGTGAATAGGGTTTTCTCCCAAAAACCCTTGCAACATATATCGTTATATATATATATAGACTCCTCTGAAACCTTAATCCCAAATCCAGTCCAACCCTAAGTCCAGCCCAACTACAAGTCGGCTACCTAATTACTTAATCATAACACCCTAAACCTAATTATCACCCAACATGGTAATAAACAAGTGACCACAACAGTTACATTCATTATACCTATATCTGGAATAAAATTAACTAACTAATTAATTAATTACCCTTAAACATAATTAAGGAAGACAAATAAATAATTATAACTAAAAACCACACAGAACACACATAAAATTTTATAAGCTACCCAAAATTAAATTAAAACAATAATCAAATATTTAAATTAACCAAAAAGTAAATTAAAACAATTACAATCAATTTAAACAAACACAATTACCAATTAAGCAAATAAAACAATTAAGCTAAACAAATAACAAATAAGTCCAAGTATTAAATAAAAAAAAAAAAAATGAAATACAAATAAAAATTGAAAATTAAATTCCCATCCCCATTTTATCCTTTTGAAAACTAGGGGTATTACACATTGCTGCTGAAAATTGTTACATACAATTGCTTTGGATGAAACAGATGCTTCTGGATTATGGAGTTGATTAGGGTACTATTTCTATCTTTTGTGATAATACTAGTACAATTAATATTTCAAAGAATCCAGTTTTGCATTCTAGGATTAAACATATTGATCTTCGATATCACTTTCTTAGGGAACTTGTTGAACAAAATGTCGTATATTTGGAAAAAGTGCATACTGATCAGAATTTGGCTGATATTCTCACTAAACCATTAGATGCTCCTAAGTTTTCTCATTTTAGGAAATCTATTGGTGTCTATTATCTTGATTAGACGCATTGCAAAAACATAGTCTAGAAAGGATCTTCATGCATATCTTGAGAGTCTATATTATGTTTTTGGGAAGTTAAACAAACTATATTGATTGAGTATATTGAACACAAGGAGTTTCATGACACATGAATTATCTGTGGAAAGCATACAATGGCTATGATTTGATAAAGTTGGTTTTGCTTACTTATTGTATAGTAAATAAATCATTGATAGTACATTTACTTGATATGTCATTGTTTTGGTTAAAGATAATGTTGGTATGATTGATCATTGTCTTGAAATTTAAACTTGATTTATGTGTTTTAGATCAAAAGAGTGAAAAAAAAACAAAAAAAAAAGTTGAAAAACAGCTTGGCATGAAAAAAGTTTTTGAAAAAGAAAGAAAAATATTTGCTGTTTAGAAAAAGGTGAGATGGAAAAGGCTACCTTTGAGATTTGTCCGAAAGCTACCTTGACTCAAAACAAATGGGAATAAGAGAAAGAGCTGGCTGCCCATAAGAGTGAAAGCCGCAAATGTACAAAAAGAAAAATGGAGCACAAAGAGAGATATATAAAAAAAAAAATAAAAAAAAAAATGTGTCTTTTGCATATGTTGATTGTTTGATTTCTAAGGATATGTAATATCATTGATTTATTATATGATATCTGAACAATTGACAGATTATATGTTTTTGGAACTTGGTGGTGATTTTACTACAGTTACTAAGTTTGTGGAACTTAAAAGAATTGATCTTGGTTATTTCTGTTGATACATATAATCTTGTGGAGTCTACAATCTCATTAGTTTCAGTTTACAAGATTTATATGGTTGGTTGCTTCCTACTACTAAGATTTTTCTTCCTTGAGACCCTTGTTAATTTATGACAAAAAGGGGTAAATAATTTAAGAGTTGAGATTCTAATCATTCAGGGGGAGAGATATTTTTTGCATTAAGGGGGAGAACCATTGTTCATTGCATTACATTGCATTGACATTCAGGCATTATTAGCTTTGTGATTTTATGCTTGTGTTTATTTTCTTGATTAAGCTTCATAAGTAGTTGTGTTTGAGCTAATATGCAGATTACAGGTTGCTACATGTGTTGAAGTTTCATGAGGTTCAAGAAAATTTTCGCTTTTTATTTCCTTTAACAATCAATGTAATTTACTTTCCTGCTTGGGTAGATTGCTGAATTGTTTTTAGGGTTTTGTCACGAAATTGCTAAAGGGGGAGATTATGAGATATATATTTTAATTGGCTTAATTCGTTGTCAAAACAAGTCCGATTGAGTTGTAATTTTTCAGTTCAAAATTTCAAAGATTGAAGATCGGATGCGGATTTGAAGAAGAAAGTCAAGTGTTCATGATATACTACATTCTGAGATAATGAGAACGATGCTCTAAGAAGGTTAAGAGGTAGTGAGAACAGTTAGGAAGGGTTCTGGAAGGTTCGGAACAAGTTTAATTGCAAAAATTTCAAGACTGGTCATCTTGAACTGGTTCAAGAGGGCTGAACCGGTTCAAGAATCCGTGGGATTCCTTACTGTCCATCTTGAACTGGTTCAAGATGGCTGAACCGGTTCAAGAAGTCCTGGATGCATCAAGTTTCCAAGTTTCCATCTTCTGATGTTTTCTTTTTTATCCCAACTTCCTTCCAAGTCCTATGCACGAAATTTATCATATTTTCTGAGGGATTAGGACTTTCAAGACTCTATATAAACCATGTCATATACATTGGTTGAGGTACGACTTGAAGGAAAAATCAATTCTATATTTTGAGAAAGCCTTTAGAGAAAGAAAAAATCAGAAAATCAAATTTGATTATTCTGAATTTATTTTTGAGAGCACACATTTATATTCATGAGTGATTTAGTTATAGTGTTCTCTATCTCATTGGAATTGGAGCTGTATTGAAGATTTAGATATTCCAGATGATCAGCAGGATTTAATTCTTCTACAATCATATTCAAATCTTGAAGAATAAAAGTAAACGCAGTCACACTTTGAAAGGGTTGGAGCATTCGAGGAGTGTTGTCTGATCTACCTGCTACTCTTCTACAAATATCAAGTGTAAGCCTGAGGTCAAGTTACTATTGGATGGGGAGTCGCAAAGCCAGAGGATCGTCAGCGGTTGGTGTGGTGTAGAACGATAGGGTGTGAGTCAGAGTTAAAGTTCGGTATACTTTGTTTCAAACATAGTGGATCGGTTTACTTTGGACTAAACAGTCCACGAGATTTTTCCCATAATAGTTGACGTATTTTATCAACCGGGGTTTCCTCGCTAAAATCTTGGTGTAATCTCTCTAACTCTAACTTGCTTTACTATTCATATATTTGTGATTGTGGATGTTTAAATTGATTATATAATTTAATCAATCATAAATTGAGCAAGTTGACCTAATAATTAGATCTAGGTCGTTAAAGGTGTTAAATACAATTAAAATTAACTAATTGTTTTCGCACCCCGCGTAACTCTTGTTTCACAACTCGTTCTCTTCTTTAAAAGCCATTTGCTTAAAAAGGGACCAAGACTCTTCCTCAGACAAGCTTTCTAAAACATAAGGTGAATTCGCTCCTAAAGTAGTTGCAACTAATTTACTACGGGCGCTTATTAAAATCGTACTTCCTTTTGCACCACCCTTCAACAGATCTCTCAAGTTTAACCGTCGGTCACGATTCTCGTTCCAAACATCATCCAACACAAGAAAATATTTCTTCCCATTAATTATTTCCCTAAGTTTCTTTTGCACCCCTTCCATATGAAGGTCCTCTGGTTTTTTGCCTGTTGCACTCTCTTATGGCATTTTTTGCTACTTGTTCCACAGTTTCTATGGCATTTAGAAACACACACCCACATGTTAATTTCAAAATGTTTTTTGACATTTTCATCACTAGATACTAATTGTGCAAGTGCAGTTTTTCCCATCCCCCCGATCCTAACTATTGCAACCACTGACTCATTCTCTTGAACCTCGGAATCCATCAACAGTTTTAGAATTTCCTTTTTATCATTATCCCTCCCAATAACATTTTCAGCAGGCACAAAAGAGTGACTATCCTCCATCCTATTCATCTGAAGTTGCATATCTATAGGCGGTTCAATACTAAAGTGGAATTTGATCTTAGTTTCAGCAATGGCATCTAGTCTCTCACGAATGGCCTTAACTTTGTGACTCATCTTAAGACGGAAAAACAGCTGGTTTGAGCTTGAAAAGAAAATGCGTACCTTCTAGGCCTTTTTGTTGGAAGTCATCACCTTACGCTGCAAATCTTCTGTTGAGAAGTCATCCGAATCATCAACGACTTCTTTGAGCTTTTTGAGCCAAACACTAGCCTGATTGTCTGGGTCGTGCTTCTGTTGCTGGGCATCAAGAAGTACTGCTTTCACAGTGGAAATGGTGTCCTCCAATCTGCCACTCTGTTTTGAGACCTCACATCAATTGGATCTCTTGGAAAGCAGCAGAGCTCAACTTCTTCACAATTTCAGTCACAATGTTAGAAAGAACTGCGTCCGCCATTTTTTAGTGGTTACTGGAGTGATTGAAAAGTAATGCTATTCGAATGGTATGAGGTTGCAGTAAGTGGAAGACTGCCATGACCCATATTTGGAGACATATTACTGAATTGTTTAACGGCGATATAATATGTTGCATGTCTCTGAATATATATATATATATATATATATATATATATATATATATTTCCCGAAAAATATGTCTCCAGCTGGATATTATTTGAATGGTATGAGTGGAAGACTGCCATGACCCATGTTTATAGAATCGACTTCTTTCACCTTATAACGCGGACTTGCAGTTTTCACATTGGTGTGCTTTTTCGGTGACAGAAATCACATGCAATGCCTTGGTCATTATGCTAGGCCCAATAACCGCTGGTACAAGGGAACACAATACGACTATATCTCGGTCTCTACGACCAATTTATTCAATATTATATGTTGTGGCTGTTTGCCTAGTTTGTATTGAATTCAGGCTCTGCTGCAATTTGGTTCTTATTATATAAGGACAGGTTTCAGTGTAGACTCTCAGTCGCTGCTATTGAAGTCTATGTTCTTTGATTTTGTTTAATTGGATGTTGTTCAGATTCTAGTTCTTTGTTTAGTCATTGAAATTTCCCTTCGTTTTTCATTTCTTGCACTCGTTTGTTTCTTCAATAAAATTATAATTTACCAAAAAAAAAAAAAAAAATGCATAATAATCCTCAGGGGCACAATGTCGTATGACACAAATTCGCTAAACCAAATTGAATCTGTTTTGAAACTACACACCAATTGGTTCTGGGAAGGGTACACTATACTAGCTTGACATGAAAGTCCACCATATAGAACCACAAATTTACCCAATAATCTAATATAGAAAATGTTAGGAAATTTGCAGATTAATTATAAGACACTAAGAACATAATACATCAAATCTTATCGATAATTCTAATAAATATTATACAATATAATATGTATACAAAACAATAATTTTATATCTCAACATTTCAGAATTACACCTTTTAACATGAACAACGTAGAAAAGAATATGGTCTTGAGCTCAAAGCAATAGGTGCAAAAGTCAACTGGATTACTGTCAGTAAGCCTAAGGAATATGGCGGTTTGGGGTCCTCAGGGGTGTAGCAGAGTTGGTTGGAGGAGGAGCCTCTAAGTACTAGACATCCATATCTAGCACTTGGGTGTGGGTTTGATTCTCCTCCAACTCTACAAGTTCCTGACTTAAAATACTACTTGCACTATGGGGTCGGGGTGGGTAGTCAGGGTTTACCTGATAATTATAAGTCCAAAGGGCGGGTAATTGCAAGGGTTTCATGTTATCACAAAAAAAAAAAAAATGGTGGTTTGGGATGCCTAATCTGGGCTTATCTTAACAGAATTTCTATTCTTAATCACATTTGGAAGTTGATAAGGGGCAATCTCTGCGGTTTGAATGGGTTCAGTCAAACATCATCAAAGGTAAGAATTTCTGGTGTCTCAAGCCCTCACAGCTTAGTTCTTGGAATTGGAGAACGATGTTGAAGTTGCGTGGGCTTGCTAGACCTTTCATCAAGCATCATGTGGGCAATAGAAAAGATACATCTCATTGGCATGATTTTTGGCTTCCTATGGGTTCCTCTTCACCAAAGAGTTCAGTATACTATCATTGCAAATTCTAGGTGGAATGATCATGCTACTGTTTCTTCTCTCATTAGGCATGGCCAGTGGCGAATTCATCACTCTTTTCGGACTATGGTCCTAAAGAAGGATTTGGGACTTCTTCCAGCACAAATGTGGTATTTATGGTGGAGATCCTGTGTGTAGCAACATAGGTAGATGGGTTCTTGCTGTTTGGGATACAAATTCTAAGTCCATCCCTCTGTATACCTACAAGCTATGTTTTTTCTGCTCGTATTTACTTTCTTTGGAAAGAGAGGAATGCTCCTAAGCTTTTCAGGGAAATGCTCGTCGCCGGAGGTGGTGCTGAATGAATCAGCATTCAGGAATCAACTCCTCTCTTTAAGAATCTGTTGAGGTCTTACATCAATTTATGTAAAACCCACTTTCGTAAATAACAAAGGAGGAGTTTTTTTTATGAAAAAAAAAAAAAAAAAAAAATTGAGGAGTTTAATTTAAAACTTTTTTTTTCACAAACTGTTTAAAATTTGAGACCGAGCGAGTAATAAATAATAAAGAAAGAGTGTTTTTCTTCTTTAAAAAAATTTTGATTCATAAATTTTTTTTTTGAGACTCACAGGAAAAATAAGACGACATTGAC